GTGTATGGAAAAGAGCAAACAGCCACTTCAGGTGACCAAGGGTTTGGGCTGCTGGAAGCATGCACGACTTCCTACTGTATTCATCAGTGCCGTGTTGGAGATCAGTGACCTGAAATTGTCCACTTGGGTGTGAAGTTCAGCTGTCACTTTACTCTTTGAGAAGTCCAGCAGTGCTGGTGTGCTGTGCTGTATAACCCACTCATGTCCAGGGTAGCCTGCCAGGCCATGAGGCAGCTGTACCCAGAGGTCATTGCAGCCATCCAGAACAAGATCCTGTTTAGTAACTCTGAAGACCAGATTCTGAGCAGAGTGGGATTGACCAGCCAGCCCTCCTTACAGACTTTCCAGGGCTTGCTGCACAGACACTCAATGCCTTCTACCTGGCCACTGCTGCCAAGGCACTGTAGGCCCACTGGCAGGTCATGAAGCAGTATTATTTTCTAAAAGAACAGTGTAGCTGCTGCCCAAGGTGGCGTAAGTGCTGAACTTCTCCAATGTAGAGGACCTGACTAATGATGGTAAGCTCAAAGATATATGAGATGAAGTTCTGGAGCATGAGCTGACAGTGGCTAATTGGCACAAGAGGTGAGAGGCAGAAATCCAGTCACTGTAATAGGAAAACTGCATAAGTCGCAGATGCTAGTAGCATTATAGGCATGAGCTCTCCAGACGCTGGCAGTGCTGTAGGACCACATGGTGGCAGTACCTGATGTGCTCATGTGAGATCACCCTGGGCAGGGCAACAAAGGATAACCAGATTTATGTAGACTTGCCTTGGGAGGGTCCAGCCTGGAAGATCTAGAAGCATGGTGTCATCAAGCTGAAGAACAGTAGTGATTTATTTCATTGCCATTGAGAGCCAATGGCTCATCTCTATCAGTGGACATCTTATGGTGTGTGGCTCAAGTGGAACCTCAGGAACGACTCTGTGGTGGAGATTGCCAACCTGCAATTTGTGTTCCTCATCAAGTAGGACCTCATTGCCCTCAGCTGGGCCAAGGCTGCCAGATCACATTACAGTGAGGAGTGAGAGCAGAAACCCTGGGCTTTCTCTACCCTTGGTTCCCCTGGGAATTCAAACCTCTGGTGAAACCTTTTGCTTAGACCCAGCTGCCACCCCACTGATTTGAGCCTTTAGGGAAGGATAGGGCTGCTGTTGGGAAGCCAGGAGAGGCTGAGACCCTTGTGTTTTCCTAGAGCCAGAGCCCCTACCTCTCCCCTCTGCAGACCACCTCCCTCTCCTCCCCCAGATCACTCCTGTGACTCCAGCAGATTAGTTGTTAGACTTCTAAATTATTTTTCTTTTGTAAATAAAAAGTACTGTGCTAAAAAAGAAATTAAGAAAACTTTTCACAGTCTATTTCTTTAAACCAAAGTCAGGAGCCAACACCGTGCCCCTTATTGAACATTTATTTCTAAAAGTTTGGGTCTCTAGTCATCTGTCATCTCCAGCTACCACAGCATGCCAGATGGCACAGGGCAGGACTTGTCTCGATGGTCAGCAACACATGCAGAGGTGTGATTCAGGAAGAGGCAGAATCGATCTGCATCATTGTAAACAGAATGAAAACAGCTATATCCTTCATTGAATGCTTATGTATTTATAGTTTTGCATCTGCTATGTCATTACATATTCTTTTCTTCTCTTTTCTCTCGTAACTTCCTCAGTCATCATGTTCAAAGTCTTGCACATACATATAATTACAACAGTCATATGAGATTGCACAGCAGCAGTGCTGAGAACATATAGCAATGAACATCCCCCTGGAGTAAAAAAATTGTTATTTTGAAAACAATATCCAGGTCATAGCAGCACTTCACTGATAGATTCAGCACAGTGGGCTAAAACCATGTGGTTGTCTTCAGGATGCTGAGGGGGAAGGTAGAAGCTGATGCGGAATGCAGACAGTATGGTGCCCTGAAGGCCCACCCTCACAATTGCTGCCTACCCTATTTTCCTGTATTAGTTTATATGGACTTTCTCTAATATTTTTCTTTGTAGCTTTACATTGAATAGGTATACTATAATTTATTTAATTTGTTCCTATTGGTGGGTGTATAAGTTGTACCAGTCTTTTGCTGTACATATAGCATTGCATTGAATAACTTCACAAGTACATTATTTTGTATGTGTGCTAGTATATCTCCAGAGTAAATGCCAGGAAGTGGAATCATTGTGACAAAGTGAGTCTGTATTTTGTTTTGGTAGATATTGCAAATTTGTCCTCCATCGAATTGTTTTGTTCTTGTTTTTTCTGGTCTCACGCATTTTATTTATTTTTTAGGTTTATTAGTACATGTTTGCTGTACATGATGATAGCTTTCATCATGGAATTGGTACATATGCACAGCATGTCTCAATTCTTTTTACTTCCCCTTGCCCTCCCTTCACTCTCCTTTCATGTCTAGTTCCCTTTCACATTTGCAGAGGATGTATCTCCCTATTTTGTGTCATCTGTCTTTTATTTTGCTCTTTATTTATATTTTGGATTTCCAAAACAAACCACGTGCTGTTTAAGCTTGTTTGATTTATTTCACTTAACATTATCCTCTATAAAGGTCCATCCATTTTCCTATAAATAACTCAAATTTATCCATTATGGCAGGGTTATTATATATAAATACCACACTTTCTTTATCTATTTATCTGTCGATGGACATATAGGTTGCTTCCAAGATTTAGCTATTAGGAGTTTTGCTGCTATAAACATGGGTATGGGGAGTTATTTTATGTATGAGAGCATTTTCCCCCCACAGCCTCACCATTAGACTGCAAACTTGAATTTTTGTCAGTCTGATAAGTGAAAAATAGTTTTTGCAGTATAGTTTAAGTTTGTATTTCTCTTCTTATGAGTGAGGTTGAGGCACTAACAAAACGCTTGTTGAATGAATGGAATGTAACCTAACAGTCAGAACTTGTCATTGGATTATGTTCTGTAGTTTCTTGATTACTTTGTTTCTTTAGGTACTACCATAGATACTTAGGGAGGGATTTGAGTCCACTAATCTCCTTCATGTAGAACTAAGTCTTGGGTAACTGTTTGAAAATCTGCTTGCAAAATGATGTTGCTCAATTTGAATGAGTAAAAATTAATAATGTTTTATTAATAAAATTATAGTTTATAAGGTGTTTTAAATTCAGTTTTTCACTTGAGCCTCCTAACAACCTTGTTATTTTCTGGAAATGATTTTCCTTTGAAAGATGAAGAATCTATGACCTAAAAAATTTAATTGGTCTGTGTAGGGTCACAAAGCTTATGTGTAGTGGATTGGGGACTGGAACTAAGCTTTTGTTAAATCACTACTCAGGTTTTGCACAATGATGGTAATTTTATTAACAGTATTTTTTTTTTCCAGTACTGGGAATCAAACTCAGGACCTTGTGCTTGCCAGGCAGGCATGGCTTACTTCATTCCCAGCTCTTTTTATTTTTAAGACAGGGTTTTGCTAAGCAAGGCTAGCCTTGATCTTGCAGTCCTCTAGCCTCAGCCTCCTGAGTAGCTGGGGTTAATAGGTGGACACAACAGTGCTAGGGTTAGGATATACATTTTTAAAAGATTATTTGTTTATAGCATTATTTGAAATATCAAAAAATTAACAGTAACCTAAACACTCATCAGGAGATTCCTTTTAAAAAGATTATAATTATCCTTTTCTTTTTAAAAACATTTTTATGATAGAAAAAATAGAAAACTGTGAATTAATGTCAGTAGCCTAATCATATCACTTAAACATGGTTAGTATACTTATAAAAATTGAGATCTTAGGGCCGGGGATTTAGCTCAGTGGTTCTGCCACCTGCCTTGCAAGTGCAAGGACCCAAATTCAATCCCTGGTACAAAAAAAAAAAGAAAAAAAAAATTGAGATCTTGTTGTAAGTCCTCTCTCAATCTATTTTAAAAAATTTAATATTGTGATTATTTCTCACAAAATATAGTAATTATCTTTAATTTCATTATTTTTAAACTTATGTCTAAGCATAATCAAATTGTTTATTCATTAAAAAAATTATTGTCTGCCCTGTACCAAGATTGGTTTTAGGTGCTGAGGAGGTAGTTGTACAGATCAAACATTGCTGCCCTCATTACAATTATGGGCAAAATGTCTGAAACATAAATTTCAATATATTAGAATGAGGTGTTACAGTTGTCTCTGTGTTGCCTCAGATAACCTCAAGAACTGGTGGTGTGTACATGACACTTAGGAAATTGCCCCATAACATCATAAGGATATGAGGGTCTAGAGCAGCATGATGGTAACTTGGGCAGAGATAGCAGAGGGAGTGTTGGAGAGTTGTTGATAATATCTGTCAGGTCCTCTGATATGTTTCTATTTTGGATTTGGGTTTTATAAATTTATCAACATACATGAAGGTTTGTAGAATCATGACATTTTAATGCTTATAGAGGAACTCCTGTTATTACTCTAATTCTGTAGATTGTCTAGTGAAGAAATAAGCCTAAGGAAAATAGAGATAGAATGTTAGTGACAGAGGTGGAAGTTGAGCTTACTTGGTTGCCAGGTCAGTATTTCTTACACAAGACTGTAGTGGGTAAACACTAAAGATGTTTGAACAGATTGAAGCAGATGATCTCATCTACAAGTGGGGAAGAAAGAACAAAGTTTGAGTTGTTTAGGGCTTAAATTAGAGTCTGTAGCAAAAGGAGCCATTTAGGTAATAGTTACTAAATTAAATCTGAAAAGGTTTTAACTTTCTTTACAGATTTTTTTCCCCTTTAAAATAAAACACTTTCAAGCTGAGGTTATAGCTCATTGATAGAGCACTTTAATTCCAGTACCACAAAGTAAAACAAAACAAAAGTAGAACATTCTTATTATCTATTTTTATTTATTTTTTTATAGATAAAGATTGCAGAAAATAGAGCCCTTGAAAATATTTTAATGTTTTACTAGAATATGTGCTTAAAAATCTACAGGATTAAGCATTAATGAGTTTATTTTCTTTCATATCACTTATTGTTCTTTTTCTTCTTTTCCAGAATTTTATAGAAGTGAAGTGGTTAAGAATTCTTTGGTAAGTTTGCTTTCTGAGAGGTACATATCATTAAGCATATAACCCCTATTACAGAAAATACAAAGTTATAAAGTAAGTTGAGGTTTGACGTATGATGATATTTTGGCATATCTTCTCAGTTATTGTTAAATCATCATTGACTTGTTCATTCGTTTGTCTTGGGCTTAGAACATGCCTGGCACATAGTAGGTACTTGATAAATATGTACTGAATGAACATTTTTTTCTGTTGAAAACTTTAAGTCTGTTAAAACTTCAAATTCTATTTTTGTCACTTCCATATACTATAAAAAGGGTTTTTACTTTTTGAGTTGTCAAACATGATAAATATTTAGAAATAGTTCTTAAGAATATTTTGTCTAGGGCCTTTGTAGATGGTATGTTGTTTCTTGGCAATGGTTGCTTATTTAGAAAGTTGGAAGTGTCCTATTTTGATGATGGCACTCTGGATGTTTGTGTAAATGGCTCCATTAGGCTGTGTTGAGAAAAAGAGCTTTTTAATAGATAGTGAAAATATCTTGTCAGTGCTCTAAGATCATGGCAGATTAGGCCCTTGTCTACTTTCTTTTTTGTTGCAGTACTGGAGATTGAACCCAGGGCTTTCGCACTGAGCTACATCGCTAGCTCTTTCTTAATTTTTATTTTGAGATTGGTTCTTGCCAAGTTGCCTAGGCTAGACTTGAACTTGGGGTCCTCTTGCCTTAGTTTCCCAGAGTACCGGAATTGGAGGTGTAATTACATGTCTATCTCCCTCTACTTTCTCAACCTTGTCCAACACTCTTCTCACTCATTGTGTTCCAAGGATTCCTCCTTCTTTCAGTGCTTTAAATGTACCATACTCCTCTTGTTTTTTATGCCTAGACACTTGTTTCCTTGGCTTTTCATGTGGCTCTTAAGAGCTTAAGAAATTGATACCTTTTATATATAAGGAACTTCGTAAAAGCAAGGGCCTTGTGTGCTACATCTATATTTTTCAGTCATTGTATTGTGCTTTGCTTGGACTTGGCAGAAAAATAAGAGAATATGTATGGTATAGTATATATATTTTCAAATTTACGTTGCTGTTTGTCAGACTCATTATTACCTTAGGCCTGTCTAGGAAAAGGCAGTTAAACACTTCTAATTAACCTGAAGTGCAGGGCTTGGGCAGAAATATTGTGTGGCTTGTAATTGAATTTTACTAACCCCTTGTTACTTGGAAATTTGTTTCACCCATTTCAAGATATTTAGCAATCTTTCTTCAGATGTATTGCTTGCCCTGTGATAGGAATCCTTTTATATGTGTCTCAGCAATAAAACATAAATCAGTCTCCACAGTTTTTGGGAATTTTCTTGAAGAAGTTGGATCAGGTAATTTGTCCATTGACAGATATTTGCTTTTCTAATATCAAATGCATGCCTTGTATATCTATTTCTGTGCTTTTCTATGTAAACAAAAACTTTGTTTGTTTTTTGTTTTTTTGAGACAGAGTCACTCTGTGCTCCAGGCTGGCCTTGAACTCACTATGTAGCCCAGGCTGGCCTTGAAGTTGCGGTGATCCTCTTGCCTCAGCCTCTCTAGTGCTGGGAGTACAGGCCTGTGCCACCATGCCCAGGTCTAATTTTTTAATTGAAAGTTGACATATATACAGAAGTTTATAGATCATAGTTACTCAGCTTGATGAAAATTTCCAAATTGAATACAACTGAATAACCAGCATCAAGATCAAGAAATACAGTATTTTCAGTACCCCGGGATCCCTCTTCACTTACTGTTGCCCTCTTGACTTTTAAAAACATACATTAATTTTATCTGTTTTTGTGCTTTATATAAATTAAATCATATAGTTTGCATTCTTCGGTGTCTGGCTTCCAGGTCTCAACCCAGTATTGTTAAAATTTATTCATATTGTGCCTTGTATTCGTGGTTTGTTTGTATAGTATTCCACTGTGTGAATATAACAGATGATCCAGGACATTTGGTTAGTTTGTAGTTTTGAGCTAATGTGAATAATGCTGCTGTAAACATTCCTGTATGTCTTTTGGTAAATATAAGTATGCATTTTTGTTGGGTACGTACCTAAGAGAGGAATTGCTGAGACTATGCTTATGATTAGCTAAAGCTATCAAATAGTTTTCTGAAATTACTGTTTTTATACTCTCATTACCAGTATGAGGATTTTGTTTATTTGACATTATTGTGGACGCTTGATTTTAACTTTTTGAATTTAAATTGTCGATGGGATCATATACAAGATTTTTTTTTGTTTCAGTTGAAACCAAATGAGATTATTTTAAGTGAGAATTAAACTCACACATGTAGTGCCAACATGTGCCTAATTTAAGAATTCTAACAAGTCCAAGTTTTTTGAGGGAATGTTATGTAGGTGCAGTGACTCTTGAAGATTGCCACCTGGTGGTTAAAGATTATAGGACCTTACTGATTTTACTGTTTTTAAAATCAGAATTCATCCTACAATATGAAGAAAACTGTACATTAGGATTGATGATAAATGGACATATGTTAAATGGTAATAAATATAGTGGAGCAAAGTAAATCAGAATAAAGGAGGGTCTGGCAGGAGTGGTTTCTGATTTCCTGTGACAGTTACATAGAAGGAAAGCATTGAGCAGATCCCTAAAGAGCTGAAGGAATAAGCTGTGTATCTATTTGGGGGAAGACTATTGCAGGCCAAGAAATAGGAAAATACAAAAATAGGAGTTTACATGAAATTTTTCAGTACATGGCTAAGAAATCTGAGTGGAGTGAGGAGGGGTGGTTTGAGGTTTCAGCAAAGGAGATGACCCAGAGACACAAGAGATTATAGCCAAAGGCTGGATAGCATGAGAATGAGATTTTGGAAGGGTACAGTTAGTTATAGGCAAGGCAGTGTTGGAAGCATCTGGTGGACAAGGACACCCAGCTTACTCATTTTTTTCTATTTTGTGTAGTCCCTAGCATACTTTAAGTGTCTATTGCATTGAGTAACTAGAATAATTCACCTTTGGCATGTTAGATAGAGATTTATCTCCAGGTTATATATCAGAGTTGTGGTTCCTTCTTAGATGTATTTGGCAGAGAAAAATTAATGGTGAATATATAACTCAGTTTTAATTCCTTTTGCTTCTGCTAGTAATAACTAATATGTTTGAAGGAGTAACAATGGAGGTGACTAGGTAAATCTTCTAAAATTGATTTTTGTAAAGATACGAAAGTAGTAACAATTACATATTGAATGCATTTTCCAAAAGGAATATTTTTACTTTTGTTAGAATGTTAAAAATCTCAGGTGGGAGGAAGAATGGTGTTAGCTAATTTGTGTTTTGAAATTTCTCCCTATGCATATGGTTATTTAATAAATAAGATATAGCAATTCTTAAGTGCCCATCTGATTTAGTAGCATGTTAGATGTGTCATATGAATTATTTCTCATCCTGGTAACAATGCTGCAAGGTAAGAGTTCTATTTTATAGTTAAGGAAACAGGCTGGGATTCATGATCTTAGTCATTTTGCTAGTGACAGGTAAATCATGTTCAAGAGGCCTGCTCTAGTCATTGGGTCCCTTAATATTGCACTTTCTTCAACTGATTAAATGTTGACTAGAGGTCTACTAGAGGTCAGTTAGCCTTATAATTGAATAAACGTGAGAGTGTAATTTTAGGGAAAGCATGTGACATAATTTATCAGAAATATAAACTTATATTAGAATTATGATTAAGTTGTTTTTAAATCTTTGGGGAGAAAACTGACTGAATAATACAAATACTTTTTATGAATTACTAGGTTAAGTGATTTCCAAACCAAATTTATGTTTCATTTGAATTGTGGCTCAATGAATTAACATTTGATAGTCCCACCCAATGTGTGTAGGTGTGTTACTTATGTCAGATTGTTGCCCTGTGTTAAACCACATCACTTTCAAGGTTTTTTAACTTCTTTCTGGCTAACTACATGATTTGGAGGGAGACTGAGATAACACATGGAATTATTGTAACAGGGAAGGAAAGGATGCTATGAAAGTATAGGAGTATCCTTTATCTCACTTCAGATGGAGACATTTGGAAAAGTTTCTAATAAGTAATTTCTAGGTGGAGACATGAATAGAGGTGAATGAGATGAGGGAAAGAATTTATTGGACTACTATTAATAATAAAATCAATATGCAGTTCCAATGAGATATCTTATATGTTTTAAGAAAATTGTAATAACGTTTATAAATTCTTAGTTGTGTTTCTTGTGGCCATACATTTATTATTGAGCAATTTTATAGCAATAAAAGTGGTAATAAGTAATGGTTTTAGGTCTTATGGGTAGTTAGTAGGCAGTGAATTTTTTAAAGCTATAAATATTCTCATACTCTGTTACTGTACTTTCAGTGAATGTGGAATAGATGTTGGTACTTCAATTATTTGTTCCACCTAGAATATAAATAAAAATAATTTGGATCTGTACAGTAAAAATAATTGAGAATAACGTCTTTGAATATGTGGCAGGCTCTATCTTCCTATATCTGATTATACAGACTTAGAAATTGTTACTCATTCTCTGGCAACTATTTTGTGAAAATGTAAAATGAAGTTATTGTGATGAGAAAGAAGATCAACAATAGCTCTATGGTATTAGTATTATATTGGCTTAGAAAGGTAACTCACGTCATCTCTTCAACCATATGAAATAACTTTAAAAGATTTTCCTCCCCTCCAAAGCCTTTTTAGATTTATTTTAGAATGAAGTAGTTAAGAATATTGAGTACAACACCCCTCAAGAAACATCTTCCCACCATACAACATGGTCCTTCAGATACATTTACTGTAAGTCTCCTTTTTCCACCCCCCTTGGGAAAGGAATGGACATTTCATGCTTTATCTGGTACTTTATCACATGGATAATGAGAATTAGAGCACATGTTCTCTTATGAGAGATGATCTTACACATAGATGGGTAAATGGCTTTTTAGGTATATAATTTGAAGTCTAGGTATGTCCTCCCAACCCTAAGACTTCATTTGATTTTGTTCTGT